TCTTTTTCGAATTTTCAATAATATTAAGAAGATTTTCTTTGAATTTTTTAGCCTGTTGTATATCTTTATTATTCCCTTTCTGTTTCACATATTCTGTTAGAAAGCGAACAATTCCAGGCTCGCTTAGTATTAAATGTTCTTCAAATAGTGCGGACCTAGCTTCCTTACAAATCGTCTCACATATTGCTCGGGCAACAAAATATTCAAATAAAGATTTGTGAATAAATCGATAGTGATCACCATTGCGATTTAAAAGAGAGTTATAGCGTAAAAGCCGTGTCACTGGATCTTTATATCCAAAGAACTTGGCACGCCAGTTTCTGTCATCTGTGTCTGAATACTCTATTACCAATTCATTGGCCTTGAACATTTCGACTGCCAAGCCTTCGTTAAATCGTATACAATGTCGCGTAAAATCATAATCATCTAATTCTTTAAAAGCTTCGTTTTCTTTCTCATCTAGCTGGATGCGACTTAAACGTTCTTGAGATCGCTCGAACCATCTTTCTACGAACTTATTATATAAGGCTAAACGCGTTATATTTTTTGCCGAGTTCTCATTCTCTTTCCGGTCTAAATCTGGCATGACTTGTGTAGCGATCTTTAAAATAAATGGGTTGCTTAATAACTGACCAGAATAAGGTATACGCTGAAAAATGGATTCATAACTTTGTACATCCCATAGTGTCTTTTTAGCGAGATCCTTTTGTTTTTTGACATACTTTCTGATATATTCTCGTATTTCCTCTTTAGAAAAAGATGCTATCCATATTTCCTGAAAAAGTCTGGGACTATTATTAGGAGTAAACTTTTGTTGATATTTCGTACTTAAATATTCCGGTCGACAACTGATAATAACCTTAGCGTTCCACTCGTAAAGTTTATTCTTATTATAAAAATTTAATCGACGGTCCTTAATCTCATCATATCCATCTAATATAAACACGAACCTGGAGCTTTGTTTTAAGTTTTCGATAATTTCCTTGGAGAATCCTATCCCTCTTAAATACTTTTGAATTATTCTCTCATTGGGATTTTCTATTGATGGAAGTGAAATAAATATGGGAATAAGTTTATCTAGCTCATCTTTCGAGGGATATTCTGTCCAAAAGCGTCGAGCAAGGTGACGGTTGAAAGTAGACTTGCCCGCTCCAGCTTCGCCGAGGAGTAATAATACCTTTTTTTCCGAAGCCAGGAAAGCTTTAACTTTAGCTTCTAAATCAAAGGAATCCTCGGCATTTAGGAACCACTTTCCTTTTGGTGGAACATACAGGCCCAATGCATCTTTAATTTCTTCGTCTTGTTCTAATTCATTTAAATATTCTTTTTTGATTTTGTCTAATGGCACCAACAGTTCGGTGACATTCGATGCCAAGTCCTGTGATAGTTTAAGACGAGCTTTAACTAAAAACCTAGAATTAAAATCAGATTGCTCGACAGAGTTCCATACATGAAATCCGTACACATCACATCCATTAGTTACTTCATTAGAAGCTAATTGATTTAACACCGCTCTAGCACAATATTTTAAATCTTCATCGTTTTGGTTCGTTAACTGATGCAAGATTACAAAAACCCATTCTTTAACTTCTGAATGCTGACCCCACTGAATTTCGTTTTGATAAAGATCACCTAAAAACCTAACCGTTCCCTGCCGTATCTTTGAATCCCGTTGTGTACAGGCAATCTGTCCTAAGCGTTGACATAGGCCTATTAAAAAGTATTTGTTCTTATTATAAGGACTCTGGCGAACAAACAGCTCGAGTTTTGCCAGCTGATTTTCTTGAAGGAAAATATCTATAAATCGTAGAGCCAAATACCATTTTTTTGTCTGTCTAAACTCCGTTCCTTGACGAATATCTTCAATTCCTTCTTGTAATACCTGACTCATCTCGATTAATTGTCCAAATGCCTCGACGAAATCCCTAAATGTCTCTGGTAATTTACTTGGATCTAAATTTTTAATTGCGCTGACTAAATTTAGAGCTCCGGTTACTACTTTAAAAGTTCGACGCATAACCTCTTGCCATAATTTTTCATCACTTGGAATATATGATAATGACTGACAAGCGTAGTGAACATGATAAGTTAATGTTGGATTATCTTTTAGTTCTTTAAACTGTTGATACAAGGGCGCATGCAGTCTTTCACGATTAATACCTTTAACACCTGTCCGCACCATTACATCCAATAGCGTATAAATTGTTTGCAATAGTTCACTGAGTTGGATCTCGTTTTCCGGCTTGTGTAGTTCTTCCAGGCGTTTGCATAATACCTCTAAGATGGCCACTAAATGCGCTGCATTTACCTCATCATTACACAAAAGCGAGTCAGGTACGTTCCGAATCACTTGAAATAAGATAAACAGATGCTCAGAACGCAGCAATGTTGCATTTTTGATTAGCTGGATACTCTGCTCTAGTAATTCTTCATAAATCTTTTTATTTGGAATAGATGCTAAGGTAACGAATTCGCAGATCATCTCTTCAGGTTTAGCGCACTGAAAAAACAGTCTAATAATCTCAAAGGCCAAAACTGTTAATTGCTGCTTTTGTTCTGGAGTATGGTTGTTAGACTGCAGATGACAGGCTAAATCCTGAATATTGCGAATGCCATTTACGTCTGCTATATTTGAACGCGACTCGAATATCGACGGCAGATCTTGGGTAAAAAACTTTGTTTTTGGTGAAAAGATTGGCGTCGTTGTCTCTATTAAAGAGGTTGATGATACACTTGGATCAGCAGAAGAGTTTCCTATAGATATGTTTTCTATTTTCGTTGGGTTTTTTGAGATTACGAGTTTGGTCAATGCTTCGCGGTACTCGGGTCTATACTTTCGAGCTTCTTTATAGCAAGCATCAGAATTATCCATTTCTCCCAAACATTTGTAGACGTCACCACATTCTATACAAACTTCGGCTAAGCGTCTTTCTACATCATGAAATAAGGATGATCCTTGAACCTTAAATTCTTCGATTGCTTTTTGATAGGCATCTAGCGCTTCCTTTAAATGACCATCGGATTTATGTTTTCTAGCATTAACCATGTGGATCTTACCCTTTTTATAATGCTTATCGAACATTTATTATTTTAAATCTTTGATATTTTAAGAAAAGGTTAACCTCAATGGGGCGCCATGCACTCTTCTATATTATTATTGTTATTATTATTGTTTCACGGTAAATTTTTTTTTTGCACCGAAAGGAAACCAGGATATGCACTACATCTGCAATCAATATTTTAGCTGGTATTACAGGAAAGGATTTTTGAAATCAAATTCATATTATACTGTATACGTGTAACCATAAAAATTTAATAATATAATATGTGGAAGGGGTGATCAAAAAATTATTTAACTATTATATTTAAATTCAATTTTAAAAATTAAAAAAATTGCAAATACGAATATGAAAAAATACCATCAAGTAAATTTAATAAATTGAGATAATATGCAGTGTAATAAAAGAAGAACAATTTTTTTTTGAATTGATTGATTAAGTTACTTTAATAAAAATTTGTATCAAAAATTAATTCCAAAAGTAAATTATTGATTATAAATCTGTATATCAAGTATTTATAGAAATATAATTATTTAAAACTATTTTTTTTAATATAATATTCGAGATTAAAAAAATTAGATCAAGTTGAATTACTAAAATTTTTAAATTGAAATTTATTTATTTATTAAATCTTTGATAAACAAAAAAAAATTTTTTTTACATCAATTTTTAATATTTATAAAATTTCAAAAAAATTTTTTTATATATAAAATTGATATAAATATATTTATTAGATGTTAAGTTTTATTTATATTTTTTTTTTATTAATTTTTATATAATGATTTTTTAAATAACAAATAATAAAAAATTTAAAACCCGTTTTACAAGATATTATACATTTCAACAAATTTATAAATTAATAAATTAATATGTTAATATTTTGTTAATATTTTGTTAATATTTTGTTAATTATCGTAAATAAAAAAGTTTTAGAATTTTTTTTTGTTAAATAATTTTTTATTGAATAAAAATTAAAAATAAAAATTTGAATAAATTTAATTTAAAAATTATAAAAACAAATTTTTTATATGAGAATAAAATCATGATAAAGTTTTATGATTTTGTAAAATTTAAGTATAATAATTTGAAAAGTATTTAATAATAATTTATATTATATTTTTATTGATATTGATATTATTCATAATAAATTTCTAATTTCTAATATCAAATATATTTATTTTATTAGTAATAGTAATTTAGTATTTTTTTATATAACAAATAGAATATATATATTAATGATATTAAAAATTTTTTGGATTTTTTAAAGTTCAATATAAAAAGAAATTTTTCGATATTCATTTTTTTTTTTTTTAATGAATTGTTTGTTTATTATATATTTGATTCGAAGTATGATATCCTGTCATGTATTGCACATACAGTAGATTACATGTACAAGTGTTTGTAATTAGAAATAGTAATTTTTCCAAAAATTTTATTAAGATTAGTATTAGTGTGCTTTTTTTTTCGAAAAAAAAAAAAAGAAAAGGTTTTTTTCAGCCATTTCTTGATCTGAAAAATTTCATATGAAATTTTAATAAAACTTACGTAATATACCTTATTGCAAGACTTTACTTAAACCCCCAAAAAATAGTTTATTCAAAATACTGTTAGCCTACATGCAATGAATGTGCTACATGTAAAAAAAATTATCGACATCGATATATGATGATCAAATCTAATCAATTATTGGCCAAAGATCTTATTTTGTAATACTAAAAAGAGTGTTCTTTTTAATTAAATACGACACCAGTATACCCTAGAATCAAACTCTTTCTACAACTTTTTTTTTTTTTATAAAGAATAACATACGATCAAATTTTCGAATTTCTATCCATCTCCTTTATGCTTCTTCCTTCAAGAAATTTTATATTCTCAATTTACAAGTATATATAATATTACGTAGACATACATTCTTTTGTTTAAGAACATTTTTACAAGATAATGAACCCTGGAGAAAAAGTTTATCAACTCAATGCGTTATATAAGGAATATGAAACCGTAACTGATGACTTGCGAACCGCTCTCTTAGACTTTCTACCTGAGATCAGACAAGAATTGAACTTGAATTTTAACCAAGTCGAGAATCTGAGACAATATCTCAATGATAGAGGTAACAAATGTTCCTTCAAAATAACATTCATTCTTTGAGACACAGGGCTAATTTGTATGAAATTATTCTACACCATCTATCTACCTTTATTGTCAATAATCATAGGCACTCTCTTTCGCTTTCTGAGGAGGGCAGGTTTCGATTTTGACATCTCCCTGAAAGAACTTATGGCTGATCTTCGGTGGCGCATTGAAAACGATGTGGACACACTCTCCATTGAAGATGCGCACCCATTTTTCTTGGAAAAGGGTCTTTTCTTCTTTCACAAAACGGATAAATTCAATCGACCTTGCGCTATAATTAACCTACGGAAATATATACATGAGGATGGATCACCGACCATTGAGGAGATAAAAAAATTTATCATCTTCGTTGCCGAAGTTGGTAGAAGGTTATTGTTGGACAGAAACAAAAAGTCACGAGATGAACCAACGTTGCAATACGTCATCTTGTTAGATTTGAAAGGAGCTGGCGTTTCCACTTTGGTAAATATGGTGATGCATGATGCATTCGATGACTGTCTATCTAGATTATTAATCAACCATAATTCATCACTCTTTTTTATTAACCAATGGCAATTCTTCCCTATTTTTAGGACATCGAATTAGCACCCTTCACAGTCGACATTATGAGACATCATTTTCCTAGTTCGGTAGGATCCAGTAAGCATAGATAATATAATATTTTGGCGAAATTTTTTCGTTATGACACAGGAACAAATTTGATTGTTAATTTTTTTTTTCAAATAGTATTCGTACTGAATTATGGTTGGATGTATTCTGGAATATGGCAAATATTTAAGCGCATCCTTCCGGAAGAAACCCTCAACCGAATATTTTTCCCTTCCGAAAACGAAGTGTTTAACTATTTTGACAAGGAAAATGTGTTGATCGGTACGTCATTATTATGTCAAAAAGCTGACATTTTGATCACCGAAATTCTACTTCCTTTTTTGGAATCACATTGTTTTTACCCTTTACGCCATTACAATAGTATTATGGAAATGTGGAAGGTTTTGTGCTACTGTTATGAAAAATACTAGCCATAAACGTCAAAACGAAACTTTCCACAATTCAAAACAATCATATGAAATTCGGTTCACTAATTACCATTATTCTGTTATTGTGTTTTTTTCAATACCCTTATAGAACATGGTGGGTCAAACGATTATGAATATGAATTGGAAACATGCGAGACGTTTCAACGTTACGGAAACCCTCTTCCGTTATTACAAATTCCAACGCCGTTGAGCAGAATAACCTCATTCGACTCCTTACACGATGTATTCTTCTCTGCTCACACCACACCGTACAATAGTAGACCATCTACTCCGTTCTTAAGTCGACCAGCAACACCCGTGTCGAGTCGTCCTGCTTCCCCGGGATTGGATCACATGTCTGTGCCCAATTGGCTGAAAATGACGCCACGCGTAATTCCATCAACGCCAAATGAAACTCGAACAAATCTCGTTTCACCGAAACCTGAACGATCAGGTTCGCGTCATTTTCTCAATGCGCAATTTCAATTTACGGCAATCAACCCGGAAGGACCCGCATCTACGTCGCATAATTATCATTCTCATCCCAAAGTTTTCGCAAGTCCTACTGATTCGACAACTCAACCATCACAAGTTGCAAATGAACGGGAAACATCTGTTCACCACGTCCACTTTAAAGATAACGAAACAATCCAATATAATAGTAATGATTCACTGAAGGAATATAATCAATACAGGAAAACTACAACGTTACGCAAACCGAGTGTTTATCGCCTGCTGAGAATTTACACCAAATTGAAAGTTTATTCACAACGATTATTGCGAAGATTCATCGCTCAGAAGATAACGGGTGTACTTTCTTACCTGGTAATGGTAGTCATATTTCGTGGTGGATTGGCCAACGAATTTTGGAAATTGATAATCCAACAAATTACCATGCAACTTGGATTGAATTCAACCAACACCGCCACCGCATTATCAACCGCATTTAATGGTCGTGCTGGTAATCGATTATTAGGATTATAATGATGACGGTGAGAGAGAGCAGAGAAGCTTGTAAATTTCGGGAGGATTATATATTATTAATCAATCAATAGGTCGTTTGCGAGGAAGAGCATGCACCGAATTCTTTATGATACGGTTTGTATATAAGCACATTTAGACGTAAAAAGTAAATTTTATTATATAAGGAAAATTCGAGCTTAAATATAGAATTACGCACGCACGATTAGGATTCTTAAGTTCAGCACAACATCATATTTCCGAACTTTTTTAAGCGCAATTAATTCAAAGCAAAAGATATGAATAAAAGTTTATGCCAAAACAGTTATTTCACATCCAACATAACGGTAACTTTATTTGTATTCGAGGATTGCCTGAAAAAAATCAAGCGCGAAATAATATCATTAGTTAAATAACAAAAATATTTTTTTTGTATTTTTAGAAGACAAACATACAGCATCTAATTTAATATAGATATTACTTGATCATTAAAAAATACATCTTTAAGATTGTTATCATATGTATACTGTATTGTATAATAAATATTTTTCTGACCCAAAATTTAGTAACTTTTAAGACCAATGCCTATTAACACATTTATCACATTATCCATAGGCAATAAATAAATCCTGAATAATAATAATAATAAAGTCTCAAGTTCACATAAATTATATAAAAATTCTTTTAAATACATAAATTTTATAGAATAGAATAGATAATGTATTGTGTTAATTATAAAATCTCCATTTCTCTTTTTGTTTTAAGAATAATATATTATAAGTCTAGGAATATAAAAAGTTTAAGATATACTATTCTATTACATTGAAATGAAATTTTGAATCAAGAATAAATAAATTTAATTGTATAAAAATATTCTTTTTTATGTTTTTTTTTTTTTATAATATTATTAATATTATTTTTTTACTTGTGTTTATTTTTACAAATATATCATCAAAATTTTGTATATAGATGTTTTAAATTATCCATATAATATATTTTTATTCTTTACTATCAAACATATTAAAAATTTAAAAATTAATAAAATTAGATTTCAAATTAAATTGGTATATGATTTTACAGATTTAAATAGCATTACCAAAATTTTAATTTTTTTTTTAAATTTAGCAATCATATAGTGATATGTATTTGGATTATATTAAAAAAAAAATTTTTTTTTAAATGAGAGATAAATAATTTCAAAATAAAATACAACACAAATATATTTTAAATTATATAAATATACAATGAATATCAATTTATCAAACTTGACAATTTTATAATTTGAATTATTATATTAATCTAAATTTCTTTATATGGTGTAAATGATAAAAATCATATACTTAATGCTAGTTTGTAATAAATTAATATTAATAAAAATAAATTACAGTTATTAAATTATTTTAAAAAATTGATTTTTTTTTTTTTAATTCTTACATATAAATTTATTTTAAATCTAAGAACCTTTATGTAATAATTTCATATTACAATCATTTATTAAAAAATCAATTTTCAAATTAATATAATAATAATAATTTATATGAACCGTATTTTCTAATTACCTGACGAAACACATGTGATTGCACAATTGCATGGCGTTCTCTCAATTCGAAGGTTTTAATAAGTCTAGTGAAAAATGTCACGTCATAACTTGTCTCACCTTCTTAAGAATATCGCGTTCTTTCGTTCACCTAAGCCAGTTCTTCTGAAAAAACACCAAAATTCGATCGAATTCAACGATGTCTGCTTTCAAAATTAATGCAATTCCCACCACGCCTTTCGGCGACCAAAAGCCTGGCACAAGCGGTCTAAGGAAGCGTGTCAAAGTCTTTCAGCAGGAGAATTACACACATAATTTTATTCAAGCCACTTTGAATGCAATGACCTCTCCATGTGCGGAGGGCTCTACTCTGGTTGTTGGAGGTGACGGAAGGTATTTCTCGAAGGAAGCCATACAAATAATTATTCGTGTCGCAGCTGGTAATAAAGTATGTGAAGACTTGAGAATTCTTTCACCAATACTTTCGACTCCAAAATTATATTTATCTTATTTTACTTAGGTTTCCAAATTGATTATCGGAAAAGATGGAATTCTTTCCACTCCCGCTGCCTCAAATATTATCCGCAAGCGTAAAGCCGATGGCGGCATACTTCTCACTGCTTCGCACAACCCAGGAGGTTTTAATGTTTGCATGTTGTTTCTGCCATCCATTCTCATAAATCGAATTAAACTAACTTTCTTACTTAATCATTGTAGGTCCGGAAAATGATTTTGGTATAAAGTTCAACGTAAGCAATGGAGGTCCTGCCCCGGAGAACGTCACCAATTCAATTTACGAGCATTCCAAAAATATTAAACAAGTCTTTGTCGGAGAAGTACCCGAGGTAGTATGAATGTTGTTAACCGTTTTCTCATAAAATATCATTCGTCCTGACACGTCACAAATCACCACCATTCACAGATCGATCTATCGACAATTGGAGTTCAGACATTTGAAGGGTTTACAGTGGAAATCGTGGACTCTGTACATGATTATGCTATTTTACTAAAGGAAATTTTTGATTTTGAGTTGATCAAGAGTTTCTTTGCAAAAAATCCTAATTACAAAGTACTTTTCGACGGTTTACATGGAGGTTTGATTTTATTTCCTTGATTTTTATATATGATTACATCAATGAATTGGAATTTATCGTGTTTACATGTGTTGTCTAGTAACGGGTCCTTATAGCGAACGTATTTTTGTTGAGGAACTCGGTCTTCCACGGTCATCAATCCAAAATTGTGTTCCACTGCCAGATTTTGGTGGCGGTCATCCTGACCCTAACCTTACTTATGCCCATAGTCTTGTTGAGCGTGTCGAAAAGGAAAATATTAATTTTGGTGCAGCATCTGACGGTGATGGCGATCGTAACATGATTTATGGGAAAGGTGCTTTTGTTACACCATCAGATTCAGTGGCAATAATCGCAGCACACGCTGAAGTGATTCCATACTTTCAAAAGACTGGTGTTAAAGGTTTAGCACGTAGTATGCCAACGAGTGCAGCAATCGATCTAGTGGCCAAAAAGAAAGGACTCGAGATATTTGAAGTTCCCACCGGTGAACGTCTCGCCATTAGTAAAATATTTTCATTCGGTAAATCTTTATCTAACAGTAATTTAATAATTTAATCAATAGGGTGGAAATTCTTTGGTAATCTTATGGATGCTGGTAGATTGTCAATTTGTGGTGAAGAAAGTTTTGGGACTGGATCCGATCACATTCGCGAGAAAGACGGCATATGGGCAGTTGTTGGTAAACATCGAGGCTTTGAAAGTTATCATTATTATTATTTTGAGTGACGATAGAGAATTTTCGTTTATAATCAATGCAATAGCCTGGCTCAATATTATCGCCGCGGCAAATGAAAAAAAACCGGGCTTCGGTATTAGAGATATTCTTCTCGAACATTATCACACATATGGACGAAACTTTTTTTCAAGGTATACATAATTTTTTTAATAATGGAATATCATATTTTTATTTCATCTTTGTTTTTTACGCTGATCGTTTGTCCTGGTTGAATAAAGGTATGATTATGAAGAAGTTAATGGTGACGGTGCAAACAAAATGATCACACATCTTCGTCATTTGGTTGGTCCGGGCAAGAGTGAATTCGTTGGGAAAACTTTTGGCCAATTCACAATTTCAAGTGCTGATGATTTCGAATACCACGATCCAATTGATAATAGCGTGTCCAAGAATCAGGTAATCTGTTTATTCTCATTAATTTAACGATAATGCATCACTAATGAAATTATTCCATATTACATATCTAGGGTATTCGTATAATCTTTACAGACGGTTCAAGAATTGTTATTCGCCTTAGTGGCACTGGAAGTCAAGGTGCCACGGTTCGTCTATATGTAGAGAAATATTCACAAAATGTATCTGAATACGAATCAGATACTCAGGAAGCTTTGAAACCACTGATCGATGTTGCATTGGAAATCTCGAAGCTTCAGCAATTCACTGGAAGAGAAAAACCAACTGTTATTACATAATTTTCAGTATGTCACAGTATTCACTATCATTACAAACAACATGGAACACTATATAATAAGTTAATTCATCAAAATACATCACGATGGTCACTTTTATTTACTTAATTATTTACCAAAGTCAATAATTTTTGTCAAAGATAATTATTTATAGTTGGAATTATTGGTTTTATTTTTTTTTAACTTGAAAAGTTCTTTAAAATAAAAAAATTTTGTAATGAATGTTATATACAATATATAAATAACTTATTAATAGAATAAATCAATTAAAAAATTTTTATTTTTAATAATTATATATATAATTAAATTAATATTGCAAACAAAAATGTAAATTTCTTGCACGTCTGATATCAGCGCTATTATTAACACTCAAATGAACTCTATTAAAGCATCCCAATATCAAAACCTTGACATTAAACACCTAGCTAAACTTGAAGTCTCCAGAGAATTCTACGATAATTTACACCCTATTACGGCTCTGGATTTTGATGGAGATGGAGAATTTTGCGTTACTGCTTCAGCCGACGAGACTATAAACTTATACAACTGTCGAAATGGAAAGTGAGTATTACGGTTTACTTATAGATCGAAAGTGGCTTACTAAGATTTTTTTTCTCCTCCTTGACGAACTCGTTTAGCCACGAAAAATTTTCCGCTAGTAAGAAGTATGGTGTACATCTAACCAGGTTCACTCATTCGAGTGATGAAATAATTTACGCGTCTACCAAAGAAAATGGCAGGTTCCTTTAACTTTTACACTCAGCACTGTCGAGAACATGCTACGTATTAGTTTAACTTATGGTTAAAATAATGGTTAAAATAATGGTCAAAATAATGGACAGACACTTTAAGATATCTATCATTACGCGATAATCAATTCATAAGGTACTTTGTTGGGCATAAAAATAGGCAAGTTTACATTCTGATATTACTATTTGAATAAATGCCATCGAAGCTAACCTGGTTTTTTTTTTTTATTATTTTTACAATAACTAATCATCGTCCTAGGGTTGTGGCTTTAGAAATGTCACCTACAAATGATCAATTCTTAACGGGTAGCGTTAATGAGGGGATAAGGCTATGGGATCTAAAGCAACCTAATGATGTGGTAATGTATCAATCGATTTTGCATCTGATCATATTAGTCAATCTCCGATTTCAGAATCCTAATTTTTTGTTAGTTTGTCATGATGGACAGGGATTTATAGATCTAAAGGCGGAAAGACCGTGTGTTGGATATGATCCGTCTGGACTTGTGTTCGCGATTGCTATTCAACATCCCCATAGAACTGTACAACTGTACGATAGTCGTAAGTTCGACGAGGTGTGATACTTTAACCGCCGAATGATTATTTATGTATTAGTCAAGGGACTCTGTTCAAATTGTATTTCATCATTTTGTTTGTAGTCTCCTTTCTCGACTTTCAAAGTTGAGGACAATTACGCAATTCCTAGTGTTTCGGGTTCTTTAACCACAAAAATTCCCGTGTGGACTGGAATAAAGTTTGGTAATGATGGACACAAAATATTGATAACTACCTCAGGGGATGTGCATTATATAATTGACGCCTTTGACGGTCAAATAAAGCAAAGACTAGTTGGTCATATGGGACTTGATAATGCATCTGCTTTCTTGGGTGGTGAAGAGACGAGTTTTACACCGGATGGTCGTTATGTAATTTCTGGTTTGTACGCGTTTTTCTATACATATATATATATATATATATGATTTTGTTATGAAGAAAGAACTTGTTATTTAATTGATCGCCATTCTGGCTAAAAGGATCTAGAGATGGGAAAATACATTTCTGGGATACATTAATGCCGATAGAATCATCAGGATCTTCTGAATTGGTTGACACAAAACCTTTTCACACATTGAATCATCATATATTACCAACTCAAGTTGTCAGATTTAACCCCCAAAAGTTACTTCTGGTTAGTGCATGCAGGGATCTAGTAAGTTTTCAAAGTTCTTTTTTCAGATGGGTTCTTTTTGAAGGACGATCGTTGTTCCCTGCAATTTTTATTACTGTTCCTCCGTTGGGGGAACCCAGAATTGCAGTTTTAGTCAGATCGTAGATCAAAATAATATTGAACTTATAAGCCATTAATGTTTGGCATTAAGGTTTGACATCCAAACTGATTTCAAAAGAGTTGAGATATGTGTTTGGACAATAAACCGACATTCATCATTGGATTCACGATAATAATCCATTTTCTGTAATTTTTATTAAAACTTAGGTATTTTGGCTCCCGTCTTTATAGGCAAAGTTCCGAACATGGAAGCTGTATAAAATGTACATACATTTTTTGAAGGCCAAATTTGGGATCGGCACTATATGCAACGCGACGTGAGACTAATAATGCTGACCCTTCTTTTATTTCATGTGCCACATGACACATGGTTTTTCGGTCTGATCCGAAGTAGAAAAAAATAAAAAAAAAAAGAATAAAGTTTATTAACAGTTACGTAATTAATAGTTTGTTTATCTACTGAATATTTTAATTTATTCTAAAAAATTTAAATAAATATTTTAAGTAAAATAAAAAGTAAATAAGAAATTTTATTATAAAACAAAATTTTTTATTAATCTACTAAATAATCATATTTTATAAAATCCATTAAAAATAAATTTCACTGAATTATTTTTTGAAACATAATAATTATCAACCACAACATTGATTTATATATATTCAATAATCAATTAACACTTAAAAACTTTCTAAACTTATCATTATGATTACGATTAAATTTTAACGAATGAAATTTTTTTTTTATTTTTATACGACAATTTATTATTATTTAAAAATTTCCTTATTTTTTTTTATTATAGAGATCTTGGATCGCTAATCTCGACCCAGCTTTGGTGTGGGCGTAACAGAAATAAACTTCCCAATGACATAATTTCTCATAAAGAAAACGGAATTATTAATTTTCTGCCACAACTACATGTCCGAGGTTCATCCCTAAAAAAACTCGATCATGATGTAATGATGTGCAAGGATATATATATTAGGGAAATTGATCACGCTACTGTGCATACATACAATGTTCATGATCAGCATTCAAATTACACACGCTATCCACTTTATAATAAATAAGGTAATAAGGTTATCACCGGCTAACGATTGGTTATTCTAGGAATGAACATTTTTATCGTTTTTATTTGTCTAGACAAAAATTTACATTTTTCTTTTTTTAATTTTCTTAGTTACTTAAAAGTAATAGTAATCTTAGTTGTGCATGCTTTGCTTTTTTTTTTCTTAATCATAATTGTGCGATTCTATAATGAAATTGCTAGTAAAGTCTACGTAGATTGATGAAATGCTTTCTCCGCGCGCAAACAATGTATATAATATAATATATAGTATAAATGTCTTTTTATGTGATAAAAAATGTAATGATGAAAAGTTCTTTTTAAGAAAAAAATTGGTTTCTCTATTTTCGACTCTCCTCCTCCCGCATAATACCGTCTATAAATTTTAAACAACAATCCCCAACGCCTCACCAAAGCAACCATTCGCTAAACTTGTAGAGATATTAAACCAACCATCTGTGGAGATCATATTATCTCCACGATTTCCTTCTATTAACATGTCTAATTGCTCTGAAATCCACATGGTGTCTTCGTTCGCTGATTTTTCTTCGCGAGATTTATTTGTCGGATCATTTGTTCCGACATCTGAATTCTGTAATTGATAAAATCCCTGCCAATCATCGTAACAATCATTTTGTTGTATGTTGCTCTCAATGATCGTATTAAATTCTCTTATTGATTCTGGAGTCATTATCGATTGATTGTCATCATTGGCATTGGTGATAATGGAATGATTTATATAATCATTGTAAAGTTGTTCTGCATCCAAATACGGACTTCTACCATAAATGCTATCGTCATCACTAGTATAATTATTCGGACTGGGGTAGAATCCGAATGTTTGATCTTCCAATGTGTTACTACCAACCTCAAAACAATAATCGTATGGTGAGGGTGCTGTTCCCAGTGTATTGTAGGTTGAATTATCAGTAATCAGGTAATCAAGGCCACCGGGAAAAAAGGTGTTTAAGGATTGAATAATTGGGCTATAATCTCCATCTTCTGAGGAAAATTCGGGTGAAGAAACAGACGTATTTTCAAAATTTAAACTAGGACTATTCGAAGGATTTTCTCCGTTGCCGTTATTACTGTATTGCGACAATGGTTGATCGTTGGGAATTCTAGAAGTTATGGCAGAGATAGAATCCGAAGAATCGGTTGGTTGAAATGAAACTATGTTCCATCTATCTTTTCTTCTTCGTCGAGTGCTTGATTTTGGATACATGGCTTTGCGTTTGATGTGTGCTTCTTTCGCAATTCGTCGATATTCCGATTTCACCTCTTCCGTCTCCGCCTCCCAAGCTTCTGAGGCCATCGATGAGATCACTGTCATTGGTAGGAAGTAACCTTCATCGCGTGCAGCCTTGACAAACTGTTTTCGGAAGATGATAAAGGCGTTGGGTGCACGTGAAGGGAGTTTTCGCGTTCCATCAGGGGATTCTCGAAGAGAAATGAGATCCTGCGGGTTGATCACTGGTGGAAAGGGAAGTTTGATCTTTGGAATGTTTTTGGTCACGTGGGAACTTTGTTCAAGTTCGCTTGTGTTGGAAGAAGCGTTGGTTGATCGAATTTGCTCATCCATCTTTTTTTATCGATTAGACTTGTAAATTTTTCTGACTCTAAGAGTTTTACAATAAACCTTATAAAGTTTCTACGTACAGCTCTTGATTTGTTCTAAATCTTTACGACAAAATTGTAATTGTGGGGATTAGCTGTATTTATCTTTTTTTTTTCTTTTTAATTTTTTCTCAAAAGAAAAAAAAGATTTCCCTTTACCTCCCTTACATAATTAATATTTGTCATGGTATTTCGGTTGCATTCATGTGTTCGGAATTTGGTTTAAATCGGGCAAACATAAGATCCATAACGATCACTGTCATAATTACTCTTTTCTCAAAATAAAACTGTAAAAAAAAAACCAGCTATTTATTACCGGGTTAAAGTCTCCGACGCATGGCAGTCCACGGGTCTTGTGATCACTTTGCATAGTATATTATATATTTATATATTTATATCAATTTATGTACATACATACATAACTTACAATTAACCAGATAACGAGTTTAGACATTCGATTGAGTACCGACTACAGTTGGAATACCAAGAATACAACAGTACGCCTAATATTGTTTTTTCTAGAACTCTACCTATTTGTTTTAAACTCGGTTGATCGGCCGAATGTTTCATGCAATGCCAAGCCCCTTGCTATAAATATATTTTATATATTGCATTTCCAGTATTGTGTACCATTAGATATAAGCTATAAATATATGGATACGTCATAGTTGATTTTTATGACTTATAATGACAGATTATCAGGAGAAAATTACCACCAATGAAATCGTGATGGCGCCCCCACATTATCGAGTGCAGTTTATATAGTATATTACGTTTTAAAGGTTTTAAGGTGGCGGACTAATGATTAACATTAGTGGCTTGATCCGATAGTTTCATTTAACAGTTTACTTAAAAGTAGCCACTATTGCTTTATTGCCACTGTCATTTGGTGAATGGTGATGTACACCAGCCACTATTGCTTTATTGCCACTATCATTTGGTGAATGGTGATGTACACCAGCCACCATTATGGCGTGATAACGGAAATTCTGATCTCAAATCGGAGAATAACTCCGAATCTGATATGTTTTATTGATTTGGCTCGTATGCAATATGCATCTACACGAAAGTGCTATAATGTGATGCAAATGTAAATAAATACTCATCATTGTGAAAGAATTTAGAAAACGCAAATATAATAAATAAATATGGTAATCAATTAATTAATTTGATATTGCATATATTGAATTTCGCAATATAAAAAAAACAGTATACCGTATGAAATTATTAAAATTGAATTGGATCCTATACCATTACACGACCATGCTCATACATTCACGGATGTTATTAATAGATTCCTTATGATTCAATGATTATTGAAATTACCCGTACGTGATTTTTCTAATTATCTGTATACATTCGATTTATATTGCAGCATGCAAATTTATAATTCAATCATCATTGAAATTATTGTACTTGATTTTTATAATTTTTTGCATATAGTTATATCCTTTTGTTTTTTTTCTCGGTAATCAATTAAGCGTTTATTGCATTTATTTAAAAATAAAAAATACAATAGTATATGGAAATATTTATATGGGTAATTATGTTTTTTATATTTGAATATTATAATTGTTTAAAGTTTACTATTCTTATCATTCATCTTGATAAGATCTTGATTACGTCATATTTTCAATTATTTTTATTATTTTTAACTTTATTTTATAATATTTTGATAATTATTTTATTTATTAAAATATTATGACAATCATATTGTTTATCTGTTTTTTTTTAAATTTATTGATTTTATTGATTTATTTTCTTTATTATAATAGTATTTTTTGAAATTTATCTTGATTTATTTTATATATATATATAATTTAATTGAAATATTTATTTTGAATAATTTTTAAATAGTAATTAAATAAATTATTTATTATTATTATTTGTTGGTTCTCAAAAAACAAATATTGTCAAAGATTATAATAGTCAAATTTATATATTTCTTTAATACTACTGGTTTTTTATTGACAAATCAAATATTATAATAATAATTAATTATTTGTTTTTTAAAAAAAAAATTGATTTTCTTATTTATTTTTATAATTAAATACAAAAAACTTATTTAATAAATCTATAAAAAGAATAGAATTATAAAAAAATATTTTATTTAATAAATTTATTTATATTATTTATAAATTTTGAATTTGTCTTTGAATTATTATTATATCAGAATTTTTTGATATTATTATTTTGTAATTTTTTTATATAGTTTAAAATAATTTTGAATTTTACTTTTATATTATAAAAAATAATATTTTATTGATTATTTGCTAAATATATTTGAATACTTTGTATTTTTTGTTTTTTATTTAAAAACTTAATTATTATTAAATAGTTTTTGATTTTATTTATTAATATTATAAATCATTTTATATGTAAAATAATATTCTATATTTTAAGAATTATTTGATTTTATATACTGTATATATGAAAAATATTTATATATTTTATTAATTTTATTTATTTAGAATTTATTATATCTCTTTTTTTCTCAAAATTTTTTTTTGAAAATTAATTTGATCTGTATTTTATAAACTTTAATTATATTATATATACATATTTATTTCTTATGGATAACAATAATAATACATAAATATATATTGGATTTTAATAACATTTTATTCTTCAATAATAAAAACAAATATACTGTAATTTATATAACTATCTTAAAAATTATAATAAAATTTCTTTTTATTATTATGTTTTTCACAATTGAATGTTAATTTTTTTAATATTATTTTTGAATTTGTTATTAAAAGATTTTTTTTTTTTTTTATATTAAAATATTTATTTAATCAAGAATTGCTATTATGTAATTAAATTTAAATTGTTTTGATTTGTTAATTTTATTTTATTAATTTTATATCATTTTTAGTACTTTATCAAGTTTTACTTTAAACGATTTATATACTGTATAATCATAGTATCCTATTTAGATCTTCTATATTGAAAAACTCTAAAATAGTCAAGATATTTTTGTTGGTTTTACTATTTATTAATATATAAGTTATTTAATATTAAGATATTTGACTATAAATCACTTTGCTTAATCCATATAATTTGGTATAATAACATTTTGTCATTAAAGTTTTGATATTGTTCAAGTTTCTTTTAAAATTTATTAAAAGTATTTAAATTAGTTTTATTATAATATTTTTTGTAATTAATTAATTTTCAATAGAAACAAATGTTCAATTTTAAAAATAATCAGGCATTAAATTTTTTAAAGTTTTTTCGAATAAAATTACTAATTACAGCTAAAGTATGTTAATACCTTCCTGCTAAATACTGGTGTGTGGGAAAACCAAACCACTTTTTAGAATTAACTTCACGTATTCACTCACCAAATAACAAATGGGTTAGAAAGTCATTCAGAACTATCCATTGTTTTCAAATACAAAATTTACATCGAATTAATAATAAACTACATACAAACAAATAACGGAATCAAATTATAAGAAATTATATAAGGCGTAAGAATTTTCCTAAATAAACTAATTTTGATAGTTCACCGTAAACCAGCTTATGGTGACGATACATCGGGAAACTTATAAAAGTTCGTAGTTTTCTTCACCGAGTATAGATTCACGTCGAACATGCGTATTATTATTACTCTCAACTTGAGTTTTGAATATTTCATCATCTCCATCAACGTCAATAACTCCACTGTCATCTTCGTGTGAAGCTAATTCCTTCAAATCTTCAATATCATCATCTTCAACTTCATCAAAAATAATTCTAGGAGACCTTTCATTTATGAATTTATCGTGTGGCAATAGTTCACTCGAGGATATAGCATCTTTCCAGGGATGACGCACTGGACATGCATTCAATATCGTTAAAATTGGGAATTGGGCGTCCATTTCCTACATTAAGAAGGTAAGGTTTAAGAACCGAAGATTTAATTTTTCGCTCTTTGAAATTACATATAATTTACCTTGTTGATTCGCTCACAAAGATTATCAAAGTCTTGAGAGCTTTGACACAAAAATCCTAGAAGCATTGATGGATCCATTTCAGAAACATCCATTGCACGAACAATGGTTGAATGGTAATCCTATTTTATTATTAGAGGTTATTACAGGTTTGCAAGGTACTCATCAAAAAAAATTTTTTTTAATCATGTTTACCTCAACAGGGAACTCCGTGATATTGTTGAGGTTTATAGCAGGACGGACAAAATGGGGATCGAGATAAAAAAGTTCATCGTCTGATGCATACAAAATATGAAAAAAAAATAACTTATAGGTAATATGCATTCAAATAAGGAGAGAATTGATATTTAAGTACCTTGAACACCCACGAAATACAATGATCTTCCAGGCCTTCCACCCGCAATTCCCAAGAATTGAGGTAACTTAAACAATTTCTAAAGTCAAAAGCTCAAGGTTAATATATAAAGCCCAGTATCACAGATATTGACATTAGCAAAAAAAATTACAACCTTCAAATTTTCTGAATAACTTGTATTGAATTTGTCTGTGCCCAACCTAGATTATAAAAATATTTAGTATCAAGATTATATGTATTGCGATTAAATTGATGGTGAAGTTTATACCTAACGGAAAGTAATATGAGTACCGGTTTCCATTGTTTTTGATCAAAAAATAAATTATTTGGATCATAATTTCCTAAAGCTGAGTCGAGAATATCGCTTTTATAGATTGTATTGTCGGTTGGGACGTAAATAACCAGCGGACATTCTTTATGAGCCAGCGACAACCTCCTGAAGTAGATATAATTAAATTCATTTTCGTCAAAACTAAAATTAACGGAATCATCGTAACAAACAAAATGTAAAGAACGATATAAACGTAAAAATCACTCACTTCAAGGCATGCGCAATTGTGGCTGGTCCAAACCATTCACCAATCTTTTTATCCAATGAGATCCCGACGCGCGCGATGCTATGGATCGAATAATATTGTTCCGGCATTGGACTATCCATGAACCAACGCAAAATCTTGAATACAAAAATATCTAACCCATAAATATAAAAAATCATCAAATCATACGCACATATATTAGAGATCATACCTTTCGATATATTAATAAATCAGAATCCGTTTGATTATTGTGTACCCGCCAGTCTAAAGTGAAAATATTCAAATATGTCAAAATTTCACATTAAGAAGAAATTCTGTTATTCTTTAAAATAGATACCTCTCCCCAAAAGAACCCACAAAAATCCCTGTGCTAACAAGCTCTGACCAGTCCTATGCATACAACCCCAACCTGTATCAGTGGTTTGATAGGCAGGTTCAATTGGCGGAAATTCCTTACGATAACAACAATAAATCCTTGATTGAAAATCCAGAATGAAGTTCATCAATGTTTTTTGATTTTGTGTCAGTGAACTAAGTGAATCTGAATTATATAGACTAGTAGGTGCTGATAATTTAAAAGATCCTGTTGACCTTATTGAACCAGCGTCTGATATCCTCCTATTGGCGCCTGTTTGTTGAGATTGATTGTCGTTCGAATCATCTTCAATAATATTAATACTAATGTCTTTAATAATTTCAAATTTTGATAAATTATCATTTTTCTTCATTGAATCTCGGGTTACAGTTTCCACTGAAACATTGTCTTGAACCTCGTCTTCCGAACTATAGACTATATCCTCGGGAAGAACGTCTTCCTTATATCTCATTAATGAATCCATTCCATCATCTCCTATGTCAAATATTGCATCAGTTGCAGAATGTCTTTGATCCAATTCCCTTTTTTCCAGATGTGGAGAAAGTCTTTGTGATGATGGTAAGGAACTGCCAGATTTATTTTTACCGGAGAAAAATCCAGTGAACGTCATCCTACGTGTTCTTTTTGGTGGTTTCGGTGTAAGCCCTTCCTGATGGTAATTATTCTGCGTGGTGTGACCTGCGAACTCGCTATTATGATTCAAGGATGAGGCTGAAACCGTACTTCGCAAAAAATGCTGTGTATTCAATGATCCCTCTGCTCGGATATTATTGTTCGCTTGCAGATCAGATAATTGTGCGGAATTTTGTTCTGGTTGTAAAGTACCAAATGTTTCAGGTCTTTTACTGAATGAAAATGATCGCACTCTTTTCCCGCCTAGGCGAGAATAAGGACTTAGTAAACCGGTTGAAACATTTGATGTTGATTGAGAAACGGGTGGCACTTGTTGGTCCGGTGGGGAAGATTTACGGGAAAAAGATAATGTCCTTAATCGCTGTATTACATTGTTAGATCCGTTTGATGGTGGAATTAATTTTCCTTTTTGTGTTTCAGTCACATTCTGTGATGGTAAATGCGACTTTTGAGATCTTATATAATCATCGCTATAGTACCGATCATGCGAACGTGTGTCGTTATCTTCTTCCGATCCAAACACTAAATTAAATAAGGATGAAGCCCTACCGCCTCGAGAATGTTCTGATTTTGGAAGACTAACAGATCCAGTATTCTCTGTATTTTTAAAAATATTGGACTGTGAAGGTAATGTATTATCACTATAGTATTAATTCTCGGAAAGTGATGACTTTACCTGTAAATCGATATTCCACCCCGAGCATCCATATACTATTTGTTGTATAAACATGTTTAACCCTAGATATTTCATCCGATTTCATATACTGAACCAATCTGGTATTATAAAACCAATATCTTTTTACAAAAACAAAAATTATAAATTAATACAGAAAACATGCTTAATTTACAACTACCAAAGTTAGCAGCAAAAACATCTCTTGGTTTGGTAGCATGCCAACATTCGATTACTTTTGTAGAAAGCACTAGAATTCTCACCCCCATTTTTGTAAAATTTCTGTTGAAGAATTTTTTGTCACGTCGGTTTCGTTTGAAATTTCCTCATTAATTTCTTCAGGTAATGAGTTAGATGCGCAGAGACTTTGAGAGGTAAAAGATGATTCCTCAGCAGACGAAGATTCCTCGATGTTCTCCCACTCGTCTTGCCCTGACATTGTTGGAAGTGACGGTGGCGGAGTAAAGTTTCTTATGACAGGTGTGAAGAGAATTTAGGTTGTATTGAAGGTATCAGCGGTGGAGGCATTACTATATACTGAACTCTGGTATTAAAAACACTAGTGTTCTGCCGCATTTAAAGTCCTGTGTTAAAATACTGTGTTGTCTTATATTGCCATTCCTTCAGTTAGATATCACAGTAGTGACGGATTAGATGATTACGCGAAAAAAATCCCCAATCCAATGTTTGCACATCTCTTGTGTGAGTGATCATAACGCGCTGATTGGTTAGGATCCATGAGAAGAAATACTGCTGAATTTATAATAGAAACTTCAAAAAAGTCTATAGAGAATAAGCTCTAATTTTTCTACATTTATTTATCACATATAAACTGCATGTTATATATTACATGTAACAAACAATTAACTATAAGATTTTCCTCCAAAATCCACAGTTCAATTACTGTTACACCGAAATGCCGGAACGACGATCCTGCTGTAAACAACGGGGGATCATTCAAGATTTTATTCTTTGATATAGATACAAAAGAAGCGAAATTTTTTTACTCTTCACATGTTTCGGTTTTAAAAAATAAATTTAAATTAAGAATAAAAATGATATATAATGTGAAATATCCATTTTTGAAAAAATTTAATTAATTATAATGTTTTTTTATAATCAAACAAGTATTTATTATATTTATTTAATATTAAACTTAGCAACAAATAGTACAACATTTGTGCATAAATTAAGCTAATACTTTAATATTCATTGCTAATTTTAATAATCTCTAAATATAATTTTAAAAATAAATAAATTTGTTTTTTTATTTTTTTTATTTTTTGAAAAATTTGAGTTTATAATTTACAATTTATTATTACAGTTTATTTTGACAAGATTTTAATTATTTTATATTTTTAATTATTTTATATTTTCTTTAATTTTTTTTATAAAACTTTTGTAAAAATATTTGTAATAATATTGATTATTATTATTTTTTTTTTTTACTTCTAATCAGACTGCAATCGCTATGTTTATTAATTATTGATTTTTGTACAAATAAAACAATAGTATATTAAACCCTGGGATTTTATACTAAAGCTAAACTGTGTCTTATTGCAGAACGCCCGTCGACAAGTTATTTTTAGATTTGTATGAGATCCTTGAATTCTTAATACTAAGATCACCATGTTGCCTATATAATTTAGCTATTTACTAACTATTTCACTACAAGGGAGTTGGTTTATTAAACTATTACTGTATGATATTAATTATCTTAGACTTTCCAAATCTTAACTCTCTAAGCATGATCATAGGGAATAATAAAATTGCACATTTTCTAAGACTACTCTTTTGCCTTAAGAAAAATCATCACCAGCCTATATTTAGACTATCACTTCAACATGAACCTGTGATCTTAAAAAGTAAAAAAAAATTTTATTTTTAAAAAAAAAAAAGTAAAGTAAAAAAGGTAAATAAAAAGTTTGTTTTGGTAAATAAAAACCTTTCAATATTAACTTCGGTTCATCGGGATAAATCCTTTACTACTACCTGCAGCCAGATGAATCATTTAATTTTCATTATTCTTTTGCTAATCAAGAACATTCAAGGTACTTATTACAAAATTTATATGCTACTTGAAACAAGTCTTACACCTATTGGGAATTATTGCTTAAGACAAAATTTACATTAATACTTGCTGCCTTCTTGGAATAATCAACAAAAGAAGAAGCTTCTTACTGAATTAGAATAAGATTTCTTTTGATTTTAAAAAGAAAAGAAACCAGTTCAAGAGGAGAGAGGAAATACTATAACACTTCTTAACAAAAAGAGCACCTTGTCATCTTGCTTTTTTCATTATGTCCAATTGCATCATCAGATTTTGTGTTATATAAGATAAAGCATATGGGAGTTACGTGTCTTGTTTATATTTCTTGCTACATATAGATCGAGCCAATCATCATTCAAAAATTTCAGTGTAACCAGAAATTCAAGGTCAAATTGAGATAGGCAAAATTCTCCAGAAAAACTAGAAAAAAGTTTACATGCTTGAAAAGATAGGAGAAAGCTTAAGAAAGATAAGAGAAAAGTTCTAAAAACTGTACCAATCTTTTTTGGAGTTTTGAATCTCTGAAGGAAGAGAGGAGAGTGTTTTTTCTACAGGTTCTTTTTTCTAACAAAGTTTTCTTGCCTTTAACTTTATAAGTAGATATTTCTTATATTTACTCGTAGAAATACAAGAAGTTTATGTCAAAAAAAGAAAGAAACAAATAAGGAAGTGTAAAAAGACCCTTTTTTGTCTATCTTTTTACTATTAAATTTGGGAAGACAAATATTTAATTGTCTTTTAAAATCTTATACTAAAGATGACTTAAAGTGAAGATAAAATTCGTGTAACCTT